CGACTTTAGAGGACTCATAAGAGAGATTGAAATTTTCTTTGACTGCAGAGGTTTGATCAGCACCCATGCATGGAGCTATTATCTAAGGCATTCACGAAATTACTTAAAAAATATGTTATTACCTTTTTCATTGAGATGTAGTCCACTCTTATTTAGACAATTTCTGTCAATGTTTTGATGCCTAATCCTTCTCCAGTCATTTTATTACAGTATTTCATACGGCTCTTGTTAACAGCTTTCACAACATCGTTTGGAATATTGTCTGATCTTGCCACCAACTCCGATAAGATAACTTCAGCGTTTTCATTTCAATTTTCCTGGGAAGGTCTACAATGTTCTCAGCTACCATGGTTGCAGTATGGTCACGTAGGCTGTTCGTTCCTACATGGAGAATAATCTGTTGAGGGCTCTTGTCAACAGAAAGCATTAGGTAGTGCTTCATATCAAATTTGAGTTCTCTTCTATTACAGAGGTTTCATCGGACTTAGAGGACTCATAAGAGAGATTGAAATTTTCTTCGGCTGCAGAGGTTTGACCAGCACCCAAGGTTTCCTTAGCTTATGGTTAGTAATAATATTGTTAAAAGTGCACTCACAAATATTTTTGTGTTGTTGAGCAATTGTGGGCAAGCCTAGACCTCCAGATATTCCATGTGTGAGCATATTATTGGCAGTGCTCTCTGCTGAATGCACTTTAGCTCATATTATAAATACTAAGGCACCATAATTGGTAACATGAGGTATACATGCAAAATGAAACAAGTATAAATTTTTATAGTCGCAAAATCCCAATTCACATCTAATTAACACCATGGGGCCAGACCACCCCTTCTGTGCTGCATTACAAGAGTGGGTGGTTTTTTTCAAAATGGTGCCAAAAAAGTCTGCAAAGGCTTCTAGGTTTTACCTTATTGGGATTTAGTCTCAAAGCAGCTGACTCTCAGTCGATATGGTAGGGAACTGGTTTGAGCCATACAAATTTGGCTGCCATTTCAAGAAAGTTGAAAATATTAGCTTTTTGTTGATATACGATAAAGGCTACTGGAGTTTGCATAGGTGGAAAAAAATGGCATGATAGGATGCAAAAATACAGAGCCAAGTAATGGTGGAAGTAGAAAAGGAGTTGGCCCAAACGTGTAGATTAATGATAAAATAAAAACAAAAATGTTTAAAAAAACATTCGTATAAGAAAAGAAACTGTATAACCGTATGAGCGCGTGGAATCAACAATTGTGACTGAAAAGGCCTGCGGCCATAATGTGAGCTACCGAAGAGCGCGCACACAGCGGTAGTGTTAGGTATTGCTTGTAAGCATCAGAGCGCCAGTCGCCGTGGAGTTGGAGCAAATGTTCCGGGGCTCCTGCCTGGAACGCAAAAGTGGCACCGCCCCGGCGAAAACTATGAGGGGAATAGTTCGTAGGTGCAAGGCCGAGTTTGCCAAGTAGTTTCTTGAGAGTCGTAGTGAAGAAGGACGCAGTGACAGGAGTAAGGCTGGTTGCAGTAGGAAAGCAGAAGAACGGATCGTCAGGACTAGCAGGCACCAAGCTGAAGAAGTGATGGATGGCGGTGACTGGACAGAGAGGTGAATGTGGAATGCTGGGAAGAGGGACAATATGGATGCCTGCCTTATGTTGGTGTGTCTTGGACCATTTAATGCGGAGGAAACATCCAGAGGTCGTGAATTTGATGTCGCGCCTAGTGAGGTCGCGTTGGCAGTCAAAGGTGGAAGCTGTGGACGAGACCAAGTTAGACTTGCGCAGAAAAGAAAAGAAAGCCACCAGGAACAAAGCCCATATCATGGCGTGAGATGGGCAGTTCATGTCCAAAACATGGTAGATGTCGAGTAAAATCGCGGGCGTAAGGGGATGTTTTTGACGAGAAGCGGCACCCAAAACGCGCTTCAGACCTCTCTTGGTGAGGGAAACTTCGAAACAAGTGAACGAGTCAGTTGACAGACCATGGGAGAGGTGTAACAATCGGACGGCGTTGAGGTGACCCAGAATATACTGGTATGAAGAGGTCCGCTGAGTGAGGAAAACCGCGTAGGAGGAGATGGTCGAAGGTGACGCTGGAAGAGGAACCAACGAGAAATCGTGGCAAAAACGGGGGGAAGAATTCCACTGAGAGCGGAGGTTGCGCATTGTTCCTGGGGCATAGGCCTGATGTTGTATCTGCGAAACGCGGTGCTGAAGCTGAGAATACAAGGATGCAGGTGGTGTGTTGGTGACTTGAGTAGAAGAGCCTGGAGAGGGAGATAAAAGGCCAGATTAGCAGTCAATCTCGAACTGAAATAATTCAGGTGGACAGAGAATGTGGGTGGTGGGGGTGTCAGCGGTCAAGGTGTCAAAGCGAAGATGGACTGGAGATAAATGCCAGCAACTGAAATGATCAGCAATGGTGTTATCCACCCCAGCTATGTGTCAGGCAAAAATGTCGCTGTCATGACGAGCGGTGAGAAACCAGATTTCCCGTAAACACAGGTGCATCCCAGGAACGCGAGAACGGCCGGAATTGATGGCGAGCACGCTATTTGCATTATCGCACTGCAAAATAAGGCCCAAAGCTTAAGCGCCACCTTTATGGTCAACAGTTCCAAAGTGTTGATGTCGTGTCCAAACTGGCTGAGGATGGGGGCGGGAAAAGGGGTGTGAAAGTACTGCCCTGTGAAATAGCCAGCCGCACCGGTGCGGCATACGTCAGTGGAGAGGAATAAACGGTTGTCAAGCCAAGGTGAAGTCTTTTGCCGGTGCGGCTGTAAGCGATTTGGAGAGGAGAGATCTAGATGTCGACGGAGAGAGGATTGGTAACGAAGGGCCCGTAAGTGGCGCCAAGTTCGCATTCGGAGCTAAGAAATTGGTCGATGACTGTTGGATAGGATCTAGCAGAACCATGATTCTGAGTGGACTGGACGGGCGGAGAACAGCTGGAGTATCCGACCGGCCAGCCAAACTCAAGAAAATCACACAGAGACTTGTCAGGATAATGAACGAGACGGCGGCGCCATTCGGGAATGTTGAGGTTCGAGGGTACCGGAAGACGAAGCATGAAGGCGTTGGGACCAGTAGAATGCTGGAGGTGGGAGTGGAGAGAGATGAGACGCGAGGTAAGCGAGGAACTCAAAGGGAAAAGACGAGGACGATGGGCGGAAGGAGAGCTGGTTGGCGAGCGAGGAAAAGCTAGGGTTGGACGTGCGGGATCAGGTAGTCATGCCTGGGACGGTGATTCTGTGCGGCGAGCTGGGACGGGAAACTTCCGCTTGGGGCATGCGAGGGCTTGGTGATCGGAGCGTTTGCAAGCGACGCAAACGTGTTGCTCAGGGCAGTCAGTGGACAAACAATTGTTGTGCCAGGACCATTCGTCGCAAATTTGGTGACGCGGAATCGCTGGTTTAGGTGGGGCAGTAATCGTAATTTAGCCGCCTTACGTGGAGCGATCTCAGACAGCAAGGACGAGGGGGTCAAAAACTGGACCTTGAGATGATGAAAGGAATCCCCCCACTTAACCAAACCAAACTCGAGGAAACGCAACACCTTGTAATGAAAGGAGCGGACCGCTGACCACTGGTACGCAGATGCGAAAACCATAAGTTGGTGGAAATGGTCGAGAAGAGCGGCGTAATGGGGTTTTGAGGCGCTTTGGTGGATGATGACCAAGTGCCGCGCGCAAAATTCAGGCATGGACAAATCATTATACAACTTAGGCTCACCTGGGGCGTAAATGTGTGGCCAAGGCTGTGGATTCAGGGTCTTTTGAGGGGCCTTTAAGTCGCCGAGTGATTTCCCCGGACTGGACTCTGTAGAAGAAGTTGCAGCGATTTGGCCGCCTTGTAGCTTGGCAAGCTGTAGCTGCAACTCTAGCTTCTTGATCTCGAGCTCTTGGGATTCTTTTTGCAGCTGAAGAGCTACTAGCGACGGAGGTATACTCGCGGCAAGCTGCCGGTCAGGGGGCGGTGTTTGTTTTGCGTCCTGTCCTGTGAACGGAACTTGTGGAGTCGCTTGAGGAAGAAAAGGATCGTCCGCAGGCCTTTGTTTTGGGACTGCGCCGGGATCGATCGGCGATTTCGAATCATTGCGATGTTTTTCGGCGTGTTGGGACGGTGGCGAGTCCAGCAGTTCTCGAGAGGCCTCGAACAATAAACTCTTATCGATAGAAGGCAATGTCTCCCATTCGTAATCCGTGCTGAGATGGCGCTGACTTCGCTCCATCTTGTAAAAGTTTCTCGCAGATTGCTTTGCCGATTCCTGAAGCTCCACCGGTAATTAAGGCCACAGCACCTTCTATCTTCATGATCAATTCACCTCTAAAAGCGTGAAAAGAACCAAACCAGAATATTAAATGTCGGTAATTGTAATGAATGAGGTGGACAGAATGAACCAAGTGACCAAACAGCCATAATCTGCATGAGTTGTTCTCATTCTTTTAGTTCTGGAATGGGTAATAGTGAAGAACAGCTCCCCCCACCGACAGAAGGGCTACTGTTGGTAATCTGTCAGGTAACTGTTAGCCAACAGATTTACTTAGGTATTGCTGAAAAGATAACTTCCTTCAGGACAGCTGTCGGCCATCAGTCGACCGACTGTCAGTTGACCGCCGGTAATCTGTCGGTAAGGTGTTGGCAGCCAATCGGTAGAATGTCGGTAACTTTAGGTCGATTATTGCCTTGAAAAGTTTATGATTTACAACCCCAGATAATTGCTTCGAAAATATAAAATGGAACTCTAAATAGTCTCTGACTCTTTCATGTTAGTTCAGCACAATTTCCAGGTAATTTCTCTTCCAACACTCACTTCAAGTCTTAGTTCGTTCGGCATTTTGGATTTTTAACCTTGTCCCAATCCCCTTCTGAATTTCACACGGTCTCAAGCAGATCAGTTCACGTTGTTGACTTTATTTTTATTGGTGGCTTCTAAAGGAGCCGTTTGTGTGTTAGAAGAGACGACTCTAATCGTAAAATCGATCATCAAGTTTGAGCGGCAACAGCTGTCCCTCTTGTTACAGGTGTCATCGAAGTCTTCTCCTGCAGACTGTTTTTAGTTCTTTAACAGAGCCTACACATATTTCCCTTGAAGCCGATTCAAATTCACACTCATTGACGATTCGTAAGAGGGCGATGGCAACGAAATCTCGGAGGGTGCTGCGGGGGCAACCGGCCAGCCGAAACGCATTTGCCATGCTACAGTTGTTTTTCTCAAGGATCAGTAGCACCCTCTGGTATCTTGTGTGGATTATGGCCAGACTGTGGGTGCTGGCACGAGTGGCGTCTTTTTGTTGAGGTTGCTGCTGAGGTTCTTCAGCTGTAATAATAATAATAAATAATAAAATCTTAATTACCGTGTCAATGTATTTAGCTCATAGAGCTAATTGGGGACACCTACTATTACAAAATTAATAAAAAACTATGTACAGTATCATAATAAGTAACAATATAGCCGATAAACTATGCATTAAAATTTAAAAATATTTAGAAATATTAACAATGTTCAGATAACATAAAAATACTTGTACAATGCAGATAATTAGAAAAAATCACGTGCTGCAAAGATTGCAGCAGTTGCCACTGTCTTCCACTAGGCTGGCCAGGTCAACTGTACGGATTTTAGTTTTAAAGATGCTAAGGCTTGGTAGTTCACGCATACCATTTTCCAATTTGGACCAGATATATGGTCCTTGATACCTAAGTGTGTGTTTACCACAGCGAATAGTATTAAATCGTGGTATTTCAAAGTCACTATTCCTACGGTTATAACGAGTACCCTTTCGAGTAAATATCTCAGATATGTAGCTAGGTACTAGATCGTTCTTTACTTTATACATTGGTATTGCTATGTCCTGTAAGCGTCTATTATGAAGCGTAGGTAACTTAGCACGCTTAAGAAGTTCCTCATTGTTGTTTTGAAGACCGCACGCAGGGCTCGCTCTTGGATGCGTTCGATTTTTCGCCCATCTGAAGATTTACAAATGTTTCAGACTAAATGACAGTATGTTAAATGTGGCATTATAGCTGTTTTATACAGTATGAGCTTAGCTTGGTATGGTATTAGGTTGCGCAAGCGCATGAGGACTCCTACTTTCTGGCTGGCTTTAGTGCATATTTCGCTAATGTGTTGTGTAAAGTTAAGGTTCTTGTCTATATGTACTCCTAATAGCTTGATTTGTTCAGTTTTCATGATCTCGTCATTGGCGATGGTGAGAACGCTGCCCTTCTTATCTGCATCTATGTTTCTTGGGTTAATCGTAAGAGACTGAAACTTATCTGGATTTGCCAAGAGGAAGTTGTCCCTATACCATAACAGTGCTTGTTGACCCTGAGTCACTAGAGTAGATTCAACTTCTTCATAGGTTTTTCCTTTCACATGTAATTGGTGGTCATCAGCATAGAGCGTAAGGTTTGAGTCAGGGATATGAAATGCCATATCATTTTGGAACATGTTCCAGAGGAGAGGGCCAAATAACGATCCCTGAGGACAACCACGTTCCATTATTCTCCATTCACTCGTGTGGCCATTTATTTTTACTCTGTTTAGCCTGCTATCAAAAAGTGATCTAATCAGTTCAAGGGAACTGCTATTAAAACCGTAGGTGCGTTTAGTCTAAACCTGGGTCTTGAGCTCGGCAATAGTCCGTTTGGCATCCGCCAACTTAGTTTGCAGAGTCTTGATGGCCTCTGATTTTGTTTGCACTAGATTGGCCAACTCCTCCATATCTTTTTTGTGTTCCTCCAACTCGGCAGCAAGTTCTTGATTCTGCCATTGTTGGTTTTGAAAGGACTTGCCCACTCACTCGTGGTCTTTCATCAAGGCGTCATACTTCTTTTAAGCTCCTAGTAATAATAATAATAATAATAATAATACAGTATTTATATAGCGCTATTTCTATTGCTATTCAATAGCGCTTTACAATTCATTTATAAAAGACATTGATAAAATTTATAAAAACGTAAACATCACTAAAATACGAGTAAAAAACTAGCTAATAAAAAATCTGTAATGATGAGAGTAAAAACTGTGAAACTTATAATAGAACTAATTCACTAACTAATTAACTAACTGACTAACTAACTAACTAACTAACTAACTAACTAGCTGACTAACTAACTAACTAACTAGCTGACTAACTAATTAACTAACCAACTAACTAGCGACCTAGCTAACTATAAAATAGCTAATTAACTCGCTAAGCTAATTATAAAACTTGTTAAGAAGGTTAATTATAAAATTTGTTAAAAAGGTATGTCTTTATACAGGTCTTAAAGTCTGATAGCGAGCTGCTCTCTTTTATGATGTTCGGAAGAGAGTTCCATAGAGTCGGTGCTACAAAAGAGAAGCACCTGTGACCATAACTTACTAGCTTGACAGGTGGTACTTTAAGTAAGTTTTTGGAGGAGGACCTCAGATTTCTGGTTGGTACATAAGGCTTCAGCAGTTCAGTGATGTAACTAGGGGCTTGTCCATTGAAGCGCTTTGAAAGTGAAAAGTAATATCTTGTAATCTATGCGCTGGCTAACTGGGAGCCAGTGAGGCTGCTTTAAAACAGGTTTGATGTGGTCATACTTTCTTGTACGAGTGACTACACGAGCTGCAGCATTCTGGACATTTTGTAGACGATCTATCAGGAATTTGGGTAAACCATATAGTAGCGAGTTGGTGTTACCTAGCTTAGATGTAATGAACGCATGAACTAGTTTTTCAGTATCTGCTAGAGATAAGCAGTCTCTTATCTTGCTAATGTTTCTAAGATGGAAGAAACAGGCTTTGCGGGTACTGGTAACATGCTTATCTAGTGACATGTGCTCATCAAAGATAACTCCAATGTTCCTTGCAGAGGGAGATGGCTCGATCCGCTCACCAGACACATCAACATACTCTATTGATGGGGGTGGACGGTGTCGTGCACTCAAGATCAATAGCTCCGTCTTTCCTCTGTTTAGTTTCAGTTTATTGCACACCATCCACGAGTCTATCTCAGAAACACACGCCTCTATTTTTGCTATAGAGCTGGGTAGTTCGGCGGGGGTGGGCTTGAAAGAGAGATAGAGCTGGGTGTCGTCGGTGTAGAGATGGTAATTAAGTCTGTGCCGTCTAATGATGTCCCCAATGGGTGAAGTGTATAATAAGTATAGAACCGGACTTAGTACTGATCCCTGGGGGACACCGTACCGAAGTTCTTTCATCTTTGACTTGTTTCCATCAGTTATCACAAACTGTTTTCGGTCTTGGAGATATGATCGAAACCATTTTAGCACATTTCCTTTTACTCCATAGCGTTTTGCCATTCTTTCCAGTAGTAGATCATGGTCGACTGTATCAAACGCCGCAGACATGTCTAACAGTAACATGACAACACATTTTTGATTGTCTATCTCGAAGAGAATGTCATTTTGCACCCTCAAGAGCGCAGTCTCTGTGCTGTGACTTAAAAGACGATCATTATACGCAGACTTTTAAAAGATTCCTTCAGATTTAGATCATTACTTCGGTTTCACGTAGGTGATCACATGTTCAATTGGCTGATTAACATTCCAAGAAACTGCCTTTTCAATTATCTTTGATATAACCTTCAGATTTGAGATAGGTCTAAAATAAAGTATTTTAGTATAGTATAGTATAGTATACTTTATAGTTAATAAAGTATTTTATTCACAACCCGGCACTAGTCGACATATATCTGTCTGTCGACACATAGTCTTGACGATCGCCAACGGCGCTCCAGCTTCCGGCGTTTTCTCTTAGCATCACTAATACCCTCATGGTACCATGATGCTGATGGGCGGAGAGTTATCACGCGTCGTTTTAAAGGGGCATGCCTTTCAAGTGTTTCCGTCAGTGTGTTTTCGTATTTTTCAATGAGACCCGTAAGATCAAGGGTGCTAGTTGACAGAAGGTTGGACTGCTTTAGGTCATCATTAAAACTGCTCATATTTACCGAGCGCAGTTATGATAACTAATTTCCTTTTGTTCCAGGGGTGGTTTCTTTTGGCGAAGCTTGCAGTGTACAGCAGAGTGATCGGACAGCATGGGATCCCGTATTTCAGTGCTATTTACCAGTTCGTCCTCGACTCTAGTTATAATCAGGTCTAAGGTGTGGCCCTTCTTATGGGTGGGTCCATTTACACGTTGGACTAGACCGAACGATTCTAAGATGTTGTTAAATTTGACAGTATCCAGATTGCTGATATTATCCACGTGATAGTTGAAGTCACCCACTATGAGTAGGTTACCAGGGGACACGACTAACTGTTCTGCGAGAATGCAGAATTCTTCGAAGAATAGAGCACTATTTAGTTGATCTGCCTTAGATGGAGGTGGTCTATAGATGGTAACAATCCTTGTAGACCCAGTGGAGCATGTCGTTACGATGTCCAGGTATTCGAAGGACTTGAAATTTCTTTGGGTTTGTTTCGTAACCTTCATGTGTTTCTTTATTAGGAGGCCAACTCCTCCCCCTCGTGCGTTTTTCCGAGGAACGTGGTAAAACTGGTATCCAGTGGGGCAAACTTCGGCGATGGAAAAATTATAGTTTTCATTATTACTCAGCCATGTCTCAGTCAATGCGAAAAAGTCTACGTTATTTTCGACTGCATAATCTTTGATCGCAAGTTCCTTCTTATTGATTGATCTGGTGTTTAACAAAGGGAAGTCAATGGGTACGAATCCATTCTGCAGTTTTTGCTTTGAGCATCTTATGCTGATAAGATTGTGCCAATTCACTCCTCTGGGACAGCAATTTTTGGAGCCGAGGGTGGCGTTGTACAACACAGTGGCTGGCCGTAATGCATGGCTGTGTTTGGCTTGCGATGAAACAATGACCGGTATTGTTCTATTCACAGAGGGCTCGGGATTGAGCTTAAATGTCAGATCGCCAATTAGTTCCATGTTGAAAGTGGCGGAGCTGTTGGGATAATAAAAGCATGGTCTTTTGTGTCTTTTCGTCCTGCGCCGCTTTGATAAATTCCTGTGCAGAAACGAACCAGTTATTGTGTAACAATTCGTCCAGCGATGTGAAATGCTCGTTGTGAACAAACGATATTTGTTAGAGTAATTAGATGTATTGTGAAGCAAGATTCCGGCAGCTTTGTGGGTCGAACGGAAATGCGACGGTGGAGAGAAAATCCCTTCTAGGAGGCAGAATATTCAGCGTTGAGTCGCATTTTGAAGGCCAGTTTGTAGATTTGTAGCTTCTGTAATGTCGATCCAACCCAGGTCTTAAAGTGACGACATGCAAGATCGAAAAACTTATTTCATCATGAATCATCACGAGTTACTTACCTTAATTCAAAGTTATCACACCATTTTTACGTTGCTGGTCGATCGTGGTTTGCTGGCAGCTAGGCGTCAGTGTCACCGCGAACTGACATAGTTTCACGCGAAAGGTCAGAATCAGAGGACGGATTTCACTGGGAATGTCCAACACTTTACCGTAGAAAACGGCGATCAATTAGAGCTGGTTCCTTTTTCAAAAATTCTAAGCTTCCGCTAACGCAGTGGCTGTTCATCATCTTCCTGTGGTCCATAGAAGAGTCCAGCAATAAACTGTCTCTTCTAACGGTCTTATCACTCCGTACTGTCATCACATCACTCTAGAAACTCAGATTCTACCCGGGTGAATACTTTGGGAACATGCTAGCTGACATAGCAGATTTCTACCCACTCAACAGAGCCCACTTAAAATTAAAAAAAAAAGAAAAAGGCACCTTTTGGAGCCACCAAATGCAAGAAAAGCTATGACCAATGTATATTTTGTCGTTTGTTTCGTTTTCATTAGGAGTAATTGAATTAAATGTACCAATTGCGGAAAGAAGTCCTTGAATAAAATTCAAAGTAACTGTACAGTTTTAAGCAACGTGTGCAACATGATGTAATGCAGTATGTGCAAAATTAAATTGTAATGTGATTGGATTAATTGAGAAGACCAAAACTGTCAAGAATTGCACACACATGGTTTTTTTATATTAACTTGGAAATGCAAAAGCTTTCTATGACAGGAAAAGTACAAAGCACGGAATCAGCAAAAGACTCAAAGTAAGTGACACACATTAGAACTACAGAGATAAAATTTTTCTTGAAAAAACAAAGAAGAAGAATACCTGTAGTTGGTCAAGACAACACTATCGCACATCATTTCATATCAAAAACAAGATATATCATACATATATGACTAACCAATATACCAAAAATCAGGATTGCATTGCATTAAAGGGTGATTCTCAACTGCATTCTTTGATGGAGAATATTAACACACTTTCGTTGAATGCACAGCGAATGTTCATATGCCTTTTGCAAATATGCACATGTCTGCTTTGGTCAGTTTTGTAAAATGGAAATATGTTCTAATAAAGCTATTTCACCACCTGTCGCTATTCTGTTGGTTACGAGTCAGTGGCCCGTCAGTTTAGTGTCGACCAATCATCAGCTGACTATTGGCTGACAGTTGGCCGACTGTGGATGTCGGGGAACTGTTCCTCACAATTACCCTGGAATGTGTAACCAACACATACACCAAAGAAAAAATGGTCAATAGTGGAGGTTATGGCAACATATACTGCCCAAAGTAATGTCTATGGGTTTTAAGATCTTACATCATACCAAAAAATGTATCCTGTCGAGAGCTGCTTTCTAAATTTGTGAAATTACTTGTACAACAATACTTTCACGTTGTGTATGGTCAAGTATAATTATTATTACACACAGAGATAAGGACAAGTATGCCAAGTATATCCTTAACAATCTAAAGCATTATACAGCGGTATATCATTCCGTATACTTAGTGTATACTGCCTCATTATACCACCTTATATTCGACATTTCATGCAATGCAATTTGCCAAATATTTGCCACAAGTAACTTCTTTGGGTTAGAAATTATTATATCATACCAAATATGTCCAGTTTAGAGCTTCTTTCTAAGTATGTTAAATAACTTGTACAATTAACCCTACACTTTTTGTTGCAAAAGTATAATCTTCAGAACACACTTGGATTAGAAAGAGAGATGTACTGAACCTTATATAATTCTTACACAACAGTCATTATATAATCTGTTCATGTTGTCCTTCAGCAGCATAATAAAAATTATAAAATTGTTCTAATGAGGCCTTAAACTGCTCTTTAAGAGGCAAAATCTAAAATCCAAGCTTTTCACTTATATATGAGGAGCATCTGTCCTCGATGCGTTTTCATTCGTTGAATGAAGTTGAGTTTGGAATTGTTACAATTACTGGATAACATCACCATGATTCCACTAGTAGCCATATGGCTTTAAATGAAGAGTCACGGTGATTTCACCTGTTTTAATGGTAGCGTGTTCACTATTTTCCTCATGAAGATCCACTTTGATGAAGTAAAAAAAATTGTTGACACACTGGAATATATTGGATGTCTGAGGGTTTGTAATGTTTTGTCTAAAGTACAGAATGTATTTTTAGCGACACTTGTCATCTGATTTCCCACAAACATACCCGCAGTCACATTCGATTTGACTCCTAAGGTCCTTTCAGTGCAATGCATTTGAGGTACTTTGCATCCCATCATGTTTGGGAAAGAGCACTTTGGGTTTGTGAATTTCCAATTGCTAAAAACACTGGGATAAAGATAATCCGCATCCACTTTTCAATATGCACCATAATCCAGGGTGTTTGTATGTGTAGATTATGATTTCAAATGGTGTATTTGTTATTCAAAGCACTGTAATGAATCCAGTCAATAGCTGTTAGAGTCTTAGTATCTTCTGTAGAGCTCAAAATTTGTTAGGGAAGCGCAAGGTTGATCACTTGACCAGATTTTTGTTACCTTTATAAATTAGTAACAGTAGCTTTTTCTCGTTTTTAATATTTACTCTATTGGTTATTAGGTGAAATGGGCTTAATACTATTTTTATCTTTTCAAAGTTGAAATACACCCCAGGGGGGTATGAAATGTTGACATGATAGCAGTCTACTTTCCAATGTTTTTGTTCCTCTTTGTGGAGCAATTGTTGGCCACAGGAACACTACATCTCCTCTTGTGGGCAGACTGATTGTGTTGCATCACATCTTCCCATTAAAATTGAGCAATTTCCAGGCAGTCTTTGTGCTGCCTAATACCCTCGAGGGGCAAACCCTTCTCACGGCCTAAGGTCTTCTGTTGCAATGACTTTACAACTGATAAAATTGGTTTTGGCCACTATGATGCAAATCAAATCCTTCCAACCTGAGATGCAATTAGAAGCCACACATCTGTCTGAAAAACTTCTCAAAACAAAACCAAGGAAAAGAGAGGTTTTTTCAAGCATTTAAAGACAGAAGAAAGAGCATCAAAATTGGTGAAATGTAATAGAAAGCAAAGAGAATGGAAAATTGCAACTTAACATAAAAATTAATGATATAAATGGTATCATTAATGGAAAGTAGATGAGTAGGTAGAGTAAATTACCAAAAAACTGGGAGAAAGTTAAAAAAAAGGTGCACATAATATTCACAAAAGGTATAAGGGAGCTAGATGTAATTTAAATATGATAATTATCATGTGTTCAGTTTAACAATATCAGGAAATTTCAGAAGGCCTAAGGATGTTTAGTGTGGAGTTATGGATTCCATTAAAGGAACATCACTTATAAGACGAACCGCTTTGTTTTGTAACTTTACGATTTGAGACAATGGAGCATTATAATTATCTCTCCAAAGTGTACAAGTATAACTAAGGTAAGGATAAATAAGAGAATAATACACACTAATAAGTGTTGCTTTTGATACATAATGCTTCAAGTTAACCATTATAGTTATATTTTTGGTAATTTTGCCACATATATAGTCAATATCGTCATGCCAAGTAAGGTGACAATCAATATACACACCAAGATATTTTACACAAAAAAACTTTTCTAAATGAACATTTGCTACAGTTAATTGTGGATAAAGATTGTAGCTTTCCTTTTGACGAAGCATTAAAATAAGAAACTTAGTTTTTGTCAAATTTAAGGTCAATTTATTACTGCATAACCATTCGTAGACAGCTGGTAAATGATTGTTAATTTCACGCAATAAACCTTCAAGATCACTTCCAGAAGCAGTTAAAGATGTATCGTCAGCATATAATCTAGCAGAAAAAAAGGTGAACACTTTGGAAGGTCATTAATGAAAATAGTAAACCGCAAAGGTCCTTGTATCGATCCTTGAGGCACACCAGTGGAGATAAAGACATTTAAGATGGGACTTACACATAAACAAAAGTGTATACTGTTCAAACATATCAAGCCTGATTTAGCACACCGTCGATATAAAGCTTGCCATGATGAAATCTTGGTCTTTTCCCAGCTTCAAATGCTTTTTTCATAACAGACCTCATTTGTTTCTTCTTTTGACGGTCTTCCCATATCAAATCATCCAAAACGGGCACACCATCACGTAGATCCCTCTTCTTTTCGATAACTTTAAACCATTCTGGACAGTACAAAACCTTAGCCAAAATTGGTCTGGGAGTGCCATCATTCTTGAAGGGCCCGATTCTGTAGGCGTTCTCGATGTTTGATTGCAATTGGAGATCATTTTCTATGATATCACGGAGCTTTGCGATACAATCTTTGCCTGTTGAATCTGGGATATTGTTAAATCTCAGATTATAGTCCCTAGAATATCTCTCCAGGGATAATCTCTCGTAGGTTTCATCGATCTCTTTTGCATACTTGGTGATATCGTTCTCGATTTGGTAGATTCTTGTGTTAGTTTCATGCAGTTGTCCTGTTAATACCTCCAGCTTTGTATTGAAAGATTCTTTCAGTTTTGAAATCGAGCTTTCATTTTTCTTGATTTGACTCTGAAGAGATTCAATGTTTCTTTGAATAATGACTTGAGTTCCTTTCATTTCTTTCAGGTCGTCACTTATTGAACTCAACTGATGGCGTACAAAAGCCTCAAAATCTTCTTCCACCGTTTCCTTTTGTTTTACTCTTTTTGAAGACATTGTTTGTTACTTGCTTGTAAAAGAAAAAGTAAGATTTACGTTAGAAAAAGCAAGAATTTATCTCAAGTT